TGGTTTGGTAACTGCAGTTTTCTTTATTATTTTCAAAACGCTGTTGCCCATCTATCTACTGTTTCAGTTTCCCTCTGTCTCTTTTTTATACTAAAGTCTACATGATTAACTATTCCTATGATAGGCAATCACAACGTGCGGAGTGCTACAAAAAGTTAAACAAATTTAACAAAAATATGTTAATTAAAAGATAAGAAGAAAAAGAAATAATAGCTGATTTACACAACCGCAGTTTAACGTACGCCAATATTCTTAAATTTGGTAATAAGTGATAATGTAATAATAATCAGGCAACCTAAATTCTTAGCATAAGTATCACGAGAGTGATAAATAATGTCATTGATCTCAGCATCGAACTCAGTGCGATCCACAAGAAACTAATTCTCTGCCATACACGAGAAAAAAGGGAGTGTGCCAGTGACTTCATTAACTGCGCTATTTATTGCGAACTTAATTTGAGGAATTAGTGTATCTCAAATTCTGTCATTTTCAATATATGCGGATATTTTTATCACGTAAAGATAATGCTTAGTAAATATAGTACTACCTAAAATAATAGCATTAAATAAAATACTCACCCATTTGCATATCATATAAAGTTTAGGAAAATCCACGCCAACTTACTTTCTTAATTATAAAAAATAAAATTATTTCTAAATTTCACACTTCTTATGATCAACTTTAAGCAAGCTCCATTTTATTTTTGCGAGCGTAAGAAGGGTTATTTTTTAATTTACATTTAAATTGTAAGCCTTAGTGAAAGTTTGCAATAAGTAAATTATGATGTTTCAGCTAATAAAATGATTTAATATGTTTTGCGAGCATCCAGTTAATTTTATTGCCATAAAAATACTACTACTACATCAAAATGTCGTCTTTTATGTGTACAACTCATCGAAGATGAAGATAAATATAGAGTTGACGTAGTTCAAAATCCGTGAAAAATTTGCTGTGAAGGAAAAGATTCTGCAATGTTTGAGCAAAATGTTAATAGAGTTTTCATTCATTAATTATTATATATTATATAGTAGCTAAATTGAAAATAGTCGTATTTAAAACTTATTACATACCTTAGTATATTTTTAAATCTTTGATTCCAATAATAGACCTAAAATGTATTCACAGAAAAGAAGGTTATAATAATTTAACATTCTGAATTTGGGGTTCAAATTCTTTGATACATTATTCTTTATCACCGACTTCAGAAACTTGGACTTTTTATTAATTCTTTCTTCACTTTAACTTATAACTTTTGAATTATTTAAAACGCTCTTAATATTTTTGGGTACTCGATTAGATGAAACTCTCTAGGTAAAATAATATTTCAAAATTTGAAATTTTAATAAATAGTAAAAGTGACTTCAAAGTCTAAAAAGAATAAAATGGTTTTTACATGACAGATTTTTTATAGGATAGGGTGACAAACGAGCACACAGTCCACCTTATGGTAAATGGTTGTTGTGGCGCATAGACATCTACATTTATCCTCAATAAAGAATCAAAATGCAGATGCGTCGTCACCCGTGAAGGCTAAGATGGAATACATCTTTTCCAGTAAAATGGGTCTTCGGTTCTCTACACTCACCATACGAAACACAGCAGTGCCGAGCTGCCATTTTACCCTGGTATTCTGTGAAAGCATGGTTCTTCCCCGTTTGAGCCAACCCATTCGTGGTACAACTCTACTACTAATATAGCTGCGGCATGACTCTACCACGTATTACGCTTAAAAAGTCGGTGCTAAACATTGTGTTTAAAAAGCGATATCATGTGAAAATTATTATTTATTCTTTATAATTCTTAAAAGTTAACATTTATTTTTATCAAAAGTTTAATTTTTTAACCTTTTAAGCGGACAAATTAATATCAAGAGGTCAATGTAACAAGTAAAATGTTTTGTAAATAGTTACATTAAACCCTATTTGCCGCTATCCTTAGTTGTGAACTTTATTCCCCAAATTTATTTGTGACTACCCCTGAAGTAGAGCATATTTAATAAAAAAATTATAATCAAAATCTGTTAAAAACTGATGAAGATATCGTGTAATATACATAAAAAAAATATATTTTTAAATTACCTTTTTTTAAGTCTCTAAAAGTTGCCGCGTAGAATGAGCGAAGAAACCATTAGACATGTTAACATATTGTTAAAATAGAATTTGTTGGAACAGTTAACAATTCGCTCTCCCTTAATTCGCCGCAATGCTCAACTTGTACAATCTAAATGTTAATGAGATGAATATATTTCATTGCGTATAAAATACAGACAGAAGCGACTTTTTATAAAGTGATATTGTTTCAGGCATAATAACTAGCTTATTTAATTTTGTGTCTATATGTGTAATGTAACAAATACAGTGTTTTACTATATATGCTCTTTTGCTCAAATATCATAGCCAAATTATTGCCAACGCAATATTTAACATAGGGAGTATGTGGGGTGTGTGTACTGAACCCAAATCACACAGATTCATGTATATCAGGTAGCAGATTATCAGCTCAAGCGTCGCGGTTCTACCCAAACTAACTCGTACGCTGATCTTAAATGTAAGATCAATTAACTGTGGGTTGAATGAATATTGATTATAGTTTATACCTAATACATATTATCTATTACTATGTGATAAACATAACTTAATCTAAAAATATTATACCTTATTTTAAATGAAAGCATTTCAGCGTTTCTTTAAATATTATAATATTTCAAAGCAAATTTCTTAATTCAATGAAAAACATACAAAAATCTAAAAGACGAAGTAACATATTTATATAAAACAGATCTACCCATATAAGCTATTGTGATTTTTAGATTAAATTGCTTGTAAATTTACTAACGAATGATTTCTGTATTTTGAGACATAATAATTGTATTTCAAAAAGATTTTTAATACACTCGGGAAAAATTAAAAGAACCCAAACATTGACTCCTCATTAATACTGTTTTGCATGAATGCAGCCGAAACACTAGCTATTGTATAATAAGCGAGCTTTGACAAGATACAGAAGTAGTTCCACAGCTTCCAACGCCGAGTTATAGTTTTATTTTATTTATTTTATTTTATTTTATTTAGTTTTATTTTGTCACGCTCATAATAACTAATTAGTGAATGTATTTTAAATAATTTCAAAAGAAACAAGTATAACTAAATAACAATTGAAACCATATGTTTATTGTCTGAACAATATGACTTCCAAGGAAAAGTCAGACCTTCAAAAAAAAGATGTAGGATCCTTGCTAACAGGCTGACGTATCTACAATTTAACCGCTTAGACATTCATGAAATACTTATTAGGAAAAACTGACTTAACTATGCATTTTTAGAAGGTTAAAAATAAAAACTCTTAGATATTATGACTATTTTATTTTGTAAATGGCCATAGCATTTGTATTTACTGCGTTTTTAGCATGTTTTTTTATAGGACAAGGGTGACAAACGAATTCTCAGTCCACCTGATGGCCTTTTTTTTTTGCGGATGGTAAATCATCAAATGACGCCTTTCGCTCTGGGTGGAGCGGAAGGGAGTGTCAGACTTTTACTGACTAAAAACCATCCGTGTTCCTTCAGTGCCCTTACGTTCCGGAGCCGCGGTATCTCTTTCGAACAGCCCGCAGCCCCGGCAGGCGTCGGCCCTTGCGGGCCCCTTCACGCTGCTGACAGCTCTTTGAAGCCCGCGTGGAACAAAACGCGCCGTCGACACGGCCTGTCGTCGTTAGACGGACGGACGGCGAGCTACCAATTGCTCGCCGTCCACAGGCCCGCGCCTACGGTGGTTGGGGACCACGACGTAGCCCCGACGCCCGGGGCGTCTCCCGCGGCGGCCGGGAAGGAAAGCTGCTGCTCTCTCCTTCTCCCGCTCCGCCACCTCCTTCGCTAGCATCACTGCTTCGCAGAAGGTGGTGACGGCATCCCATTCCGTCTCGCTCCGGACCATGGCTTCGACCAGGGCCGGACGCGAGAGGTCGCCGCCGCCTGATGAATGGATGTTGCTGTGGCCCATAGACATCTACATATATTCTCGACTACGAATCAAAATGCAGATGCGTTATCACCGCTGAGGACTAAGATGGAATGTCTCGTTTCCAGTAAAAGGGCTCTCCAGTTCTTTACACTCACCATACGAAACACGGCAGCGTTAAGCTGCTATTTTACTCTGGTATTCTGTGAGAGCGTGGTCCATCCTCGGTCGAGCCGACCCATTCGTGCTACAACAATATTGATGCAACATGGCTATACCACGTGGGAAATTACGTTTACGCTGATATTGGCGAATGTATCAAATATATATATATATATATATATATATATATATATATATATATATATATATATATATATGTATATATATATATATATATCTTTATGATTTCATTACGTAATATAAATACTATTGTATATATTATAATATCTTTTTATAAAATTAGCTGTTCCACGCGACTTCGCCCGCGCGTAAAATATTACGGTTGGATTTCCATGGGTTTTAATTTTTTGCGTGGAACCCTAATTCTCTCACTGAAATGAAAGTAGCCTAAGTTACTTCTTATAACATCAGCTGTCTGCCAGTGAAAGTCTGGTCAAAATCGGTCCAGCCGTTTCGGAGATCAGCCGGAACGAACAGACAGGCAGACATACAGAAAGACAGATAGACAAAAAATTTAAAAATTTATGAAGCGATTCATATAATAATGATCGAACTTCACTTGAGAAGTTCGTTTGATCTTATATTATATTTCATCGCTTCATTTTTCAGATATAATATTTACCACGTAGTACCTTAAACCTACAGGTGACTTTGCACGCTTTAAGAGACAGTCAATTGACTCAAAACAAAAGTGGCGGCATACTTCCGCTACTGTCTTGTCTTGTCAAGCGGAGCCGTGCCGCTGAGAGCTCATTCCTTTTTCGTGCATGGTGACGACCACACGCATTTTACTGGAAGTTGTGATAGTTTCCTAAAAAATATATAACTACATTTATACGTAACAAAGTTAAGTTTTAGCAATGCCGAAACGAAGTGCTGACGAAAAAATCGATCTTTATCTAAAGAAAATTCAAAGATTAACAGCTGAAAAAAGTGTTGTACGACGACGAGGGCGAGTGCGTGTTATTTCGAGTGATTCTTCCGAAGCAAATGAAGGTTAGTTTTACTATTTTCTTTTTTATAATTTGCCTCTGTTTCGCAAATTATGGGGACTGACTGCGAGTCATACCCACATAACTTCTGTACAAGGAGTTGACATTAAATAATAACGTTGTATAAGTCCTATCGGGGTTGACTGCGAGTTTTCAACGATAAGTGATGACAACGTCTAATTAACATTAGTGTTAATTCTTGACTTAATTAACCCTAAAACCTACGTTTTAGGTTGTGGCGAAACAACGCAGCGCATAACAATTGCCGAGGTCCACCGACCGCCTTCGGGAAAAATAGATCCATCATGGAACGATGCTGCGGGTGCCTCCCCCGAGGCAGAAATACCACGAGATATTGAGGCAGAAATACCACAAGATATTGAGGCAGAAACACCACGTGATAATGAGGCAGCATCACCTTGTGATAATGCAGAACTCATGGCAGAAATTCCTATTTCTATGCCAGAGAATCCACTGCCAATGCCAGCTGCCGAGCCAAATGAGGCCGGACAGTCTTTAGAGGCGTTATCGTATGAATTGGAGTTAGACCCTGATTTATTGGAGGCTCTAGGTGAACCCACAGATGCCGCTCCTGAATTTGGACCTAAAATTCATGATAGTTTGGCAAAACTATGGCTCCCTTTACTGACAAAAGGCATGACTAAAGAGAATAAAGATAAGATTATGAAACAATACCTGATACCAGATAATTGCCGGTTTTTACAAGCCCCGAAAATAAATGGAGAAATTTTTTCGGCCATTCCGGAAGTAGTCCGTAACAGAGACAAAGGACTTTCATTTCATCAACAACAACTCGGTTGTGGCATTACGGCCATAAATAGAGCATTGGATTTGCTTTTAAGGGGGGACAATAAAAAGGAAGCCATCCAACATCTCAGTAATGGCTGTCGTATATTGTCTGACCTGCATGCAACATCCACTCAGACTCGTATAAAACTTATTACTCCGAGTCTTGACAAGAATTTCCATCACGTGATCCAGGATACAGAAAGGGACGAAACCTTGTTTGGTAATAAACTTTCTGAGAAAATTAAGGCAGCAAAAGCAATAGAAAAACAAGGTTTACAAATTAAAAAGACGAATATTTCAAAGGCTCTTAATTCGTCACAGTCGCCGGGAATTCGTCCATACAGTTCGGGAAACTGGACAGCCCCTCCTCGTCGCGGGCGAGGAGGGTCGAAACGAGGCAGTGGCAGCCGTCGCTACCAGAGCACAGCGACGCCGCCGCGCCCTCCCGCACAACTAGCAGCGACCGCGAGCAGGGCGCGTGCGCCGACCACATAATAACTCAGGTACACGCTGGCAGAATTCATTACTTTTATAATTGTTGGCTAGGCATTACTTCTAATAAGGAAGTGTTAGACTGGGTACTTAACGGTGTTTCTATACCATTTTGTAAGGAACCCATTCAGCAATTGGTTCCTCGTTGTTTCTTTTCACGATCGGAGAAACTTGATATGACTGTTGCTATTAATAAATTGTTAGAGCTAGGGGCTATTATTGAATGTTCTCCGAGCAAGGGCCAATTTATATCAAAGATATTTCTTGCACCGAAACCAAACGGAGGTAAACGCTTCATATTAAATCTAAAATCATTAAATAAATTTATTTCAAAGCCCCATTTCAAAATGGAAGACTACCGAACAGCTTCTAAATTAATACCACAAGATGGATATTTAGCTACAATTGACTTAAAAGAAGCATACCTACTTGTGCCAATCCATCCCCGACATAGGAAGTATTTACGATTTCAATTCGAAACTCTTGAAAATAAGTTAGTCACTTATGAATTTACAGCTATGCCCTATGGACTTTCTGTGGCACCTAGGGTTTTTACAAAAATTATGAGAGAAGTAATTTCCTGTTTGAGAAGTCGTGGTCATGATTCAGTTATCTATTTAGACGACACTCTTTGTATAGGTAGTAATTACCATATGTGTTCTACCAATGTAAATGACACATTAAAGTTAATGAAGTGTTTAGGATTTATTATAAATGTCGACAAAAGTTATTTACAACCTAATCAAACGTGTAAATTTCTAGGTTTTATCTTTAACACCACAAATTTGACAATATCTCTTCCGGAAGAGAAACGTACTAGTATTATTCAATTGGTTCAAAAGTTTTTGCGAATATCTCATTGCACTATCCGTGAATTTGCACAATTGATTGGAGTACTTATTGCTGCTTGTCCAGCAGTTAAGTATGGTTGGCTTTACACTAAGATGTTAGAAAGACAAAAGTTTCTTGCATTATTGAAAAATAACAATTATGAAAAAGAAATGGAAATTCCAAAAACTGTTTCTCCAGATTTAAACTGGTGGAGTTCAAGTGCACTTACTACATCAAACCATATGCGAAATGCTGGTTTTAAAATGGAGATTTACACTGACGCATCTCAAACAGGCTGGGGCGCAGTTTGCAACGAAAATCGCGCACATGGTTGGTGGTCAGTGAGTGAACGTGAATTTCACATTAATTATTTAGAATTGTTAGCAATTTTTCTAGGTCTAAAGAGCTTATCATGCAATGAGTCAAACTGTTCAATTCTATTACGTGTCGATAATACCACAGCTTTAAGCTATGTGAACCGAATGGGAGGGATTCAGTTCCCTCATTTAAATGATATTACACGTCGAATTTGGCAATGGTGTGAAGAGCGCAACATAGTTATTTATGCATCATACGTCAATACAAAAGATAACCGCGCTGACGCTGAATCAAGGATTGTAAACCCAGATACCGAATGGGAGTTATCAGACTGCGCCTTTCACTCCATCATCTCGCATTTTGGCCAACCGGAAGTTGATTTATTTGCCTCTCGTACCAACGCCAAATGTCCAAGTTTTGTGTCCTGGAAACCGGATCCAGAAGCAATGGCTGTAGATGCGTTTACTATTAATTGGAATAATTGCTACTTTTATGCTTTTCCGCCATTTTCAATTATTTTAAAGTGCTTGAGAAAAATTGTAGATGACAAGGCAGACGGTATTTTTGTTTTTCCATTTTGGCCTTCACAGCCCTGGTTCCCGTTGTTACAGAGATTAATGGTATCTGATATTTTGTACCTCAATCCTCATAAATTCCTATTGCAATCTAATTTCAGGGAACATCATCCCCTGCATGCACACCTTACCCTGGGTGTCGCGAGGCTCTCCAACAAGCCTTCGCTCAACGAGGATGCCCTCCAGAGGCTTTAGTTTTAATGCTGGCTTCGCTCTCTGAAAGTACGGTAAAACAATACAATGTGTCTTACAAACTATGGTGGCAGTTTTGTAACCAACACATTATAAACGTTTTCTCACCATCTTTATCATTTATAATGTTATTTTTGACTGAACAGTTTAATACAGGTTGCTCGTACGGTAGTCTAAACTCGCATCGATCTGCGTTGTCATTGCTCGTTGGTAGCAATCTTACTACCAATGATAGCGTAAAACGATTGCTTAAAGGGGCATATAAATTGAAACCAAGTGTTCCCAAATATATCCAAACATGGGACCCCCAAATTGTTTTAAATTACCTAAAAGAATGGTTTCCTAACATAAATTTAAGCCTGGAAAAAATTACAAAGAAGCTTGTGACCTTGTTAGCTATTTGTACTGGTCACAGAGTCCAAACTCTGTCTCTTATAAAATTGGAAAATATTTCATTTACAAGCAGTGGTGCAAAAATAGTAATTTCAGATTTAATTAAGACGTCCGCGCCGGGTCGTGATCAACCTGTATTAGTATTACCATTTTTTACACATAATTTAAATATATGCCCTGCAAGTACATTAAAAGATTACATTTCTTTTACAGATAATAAGAGATTGCAAAACAATGGTAATCTTTTATTAACTTTTAAACATCCACACAAACCAGCCACGACCCAAACAATAAGTCGTTGGATAAAACAAGTACTTTCTGAGAGCGGAATAGACGTGTCGGTGTTCGGTGCTCACAGCACACGACACGCATCTACTTCTGCCGCTTTCAGCGCAGGCGCCAGCGTTGACACTATACGTAAGGCTGCTGGGTGGACATCCTCGTCTAGCGCTTTTGCCCGTTGTTATAACCGCGTATTGATCGATGATGGAAACTTTGCGAAGTCTGTCTGTTTATCATCAAGATAATAATTTATGATTGTCGCATGAATTACAAATTAAATTATTATTCTAGAATAAAACAATATACTAATTGCAAATAGTTTTATTTAAACCACAGCACAACTTTCGGATGAACTCCTCTAAAAATCTACGTGGTAAATATTATATCTGAAAAATGAAGCGATGAAATATAATATAAGATCAAACGAACTTCTCAAGTGAAGTTCGATCATTATTATATGAATCGCTTCATTTGAAGATATAATTCATTATCACCCACCCAACCCAAGCTACGCTCTACCCAGGAAAGTTTTTAATCTCTAAAGAAAATGAGGAGGAATGAGCTCTCAGCGGCACGGCTCCGCTTGGCAAGACAAGACAGTAGCGGAAGTATGCCGCCACTTTTGTTTTGAGTCAATTGACTGTCTCTTAAAGCGTGCAAAGTCACCTGTAGGTTTAAGGTACTACGTGGTAAATATTATATCTTCAAATGAAGCGATTCATATAATAATGATCGAACTTCACTTGAGAAGTTCGTTTGATCTTATATTAGTTTGATGTATCATTTATATTTAAAATTTAGTTATAATTTAAATTAATAATACAATTAATATCAAATCTATTACTGGCAGAACAATTTATTAACTTACCTATTTAGTTCATTTTTATTAACAGATTATTGATACTTTGGTTCAACAAGTTTTAATTTTACTCGTCATAATTTTTGAATTTTTCTAGACTTTAGTTTCCAAATTAATAATTCAATCATATTTACTTTAATTTAAAAATTGTAGCTGAATAAACTTCCTTATTAATTTTTGTAAACATTTAAGATTTTTATAATTTGGCAACAAGTCTAAAACGATTTTAATAGATTTCATTATTTATCGCTTTTGTACTGAACCTCTTTTTTCTTTTTTTTTGTACTGTCTCACTTTCACCGTGTATTAGCGGTGTAAGAATATCCACTACCTCATATCGTCCCGTGAGTGTCGCAAGAGGCAACAAACGGAAATGAAACAGGACATAACATAACGTTTCAAAATAATTAAAAAAACTGTGGTTTTCAACTCGCCTGCCTAATGTGGCAACTAGGGCGAAATCCTCCCTATGAGGTAATTTGTTAGGTAGGCCTCCCCCTTGAGGAACCCTTTGGCTGGCCCGTGTTGTAGGGCCGGCCCGAGGTGGCCACTCCGAGTGGGCTCAGCGAGCCCACTTCGGATATGTGTCGGTGGGCTGCTGCGAGAGGGTTGTCCTCTCCCCCTACCGCAGCAGCCAAGGTGGAGTCGGGGAGGAAGAGGAGTGTTGATATGGCGAGGCGCCACTCTCCCTACCCTCCGCAGCCGAATTTTGGTTGGCGGCGGAGCCATAGACCAGATCCGCCGCTGGGGTCAGGAAGGCTGGTGCATTTGAGTGCTAGTTTTTCCTGGCCACATGGCCTTCGCGCATCGGACACGGGGGCGTCCGTTGCGCATGTGAAATTGGAGGCCGAGGAGGAGGGCGCACCATGTGTTCTTGTGCGCCTTACCTGAGAAGGAGATGGGGGAGGAGTAGTCTTCTCCCGAGAAGAGGCCGCCATGGAGCGGCCAGCGCAGGTGGGGCCGCGGATGTGTGCGAAAGCGTTCCCGTGGCCCTGCCAATATGCGACGAAGGTGGGAAACCATGGGGTTTTAATCGGTTCGAGTTCGACATAACCCGTCCTTGCCCCGTGAGGCGGTTATGCGTAGGCATTTCCCCATGTAAAAAAATGCCTCTGTTCAGCAGAGGAATGTTGATAGGCTGTAATAGATGGATGAATGGAAGTGTCACGAGCTTGGAGTTCGAGACTTGAGTAGTTGGTAATTCAAACTGCCAAGTGAACAATCGTACTACAGATCAATTTAGTTCGCAGTTGTATCGCTTGGAAGTGTTCACTTGTATCGCCGATTCAATACTGACTCGGTTGCGGTCTATACCGGCCTCATATAGGGCCTCAGGTAGTTTTCAGAACCTTCTACTATAGAAACTTCTAGAATGTTCGAGTACATATCGGTCCCGATTGACTAGGTGTCGATATTTCTTGAAAGTTCTTCCATAAAAATTTCTAGAATGTTCTTGACTCTCCTAGTTCTGCCTTTCTATACTAGAGGGCGCTAGTGGTAACTAGTGTCGCCATGTACCACGCGCAACAGGAGTAATAATAAATTATCCTCTAAAATGATTGCTTTCTTCTCTACAATATATTGATGCCTCACATTGCAAAATTTTGGGAGATTTCGAGAGTAGCTTGAGCCAGCAAACATTCGATGACGATAGTAACTTAAGGCACCCAGGCAGACACATTATCTTGAAGTTCACATCACCACTGGATTCAATATTTTACATGCACATATATTTAATATACAAAATCGCACCAATTTTACGTTTCAAAACCCTCGATGACGATAGTATCTGAAGGCTCATAAGCAGGCATATTATCTTGCGTTTTACATCACCATCGAAGTGATCACCATTACATTTTAAATACACAAAATCAAACCACTTTAATGTTTCAAAATCCAAAGGAGCAGCAATCCGAAAGTGGTCAAGTTCCCGCTAAAAACCATGTAACTCTTCATATTTCTTTTATGTAATATGTATGGATTTTTACGGCCAATAGACTCGATCACATTTATATTGGTAAATATTATAATTATTGTTTCATTATTTGTAAACACTATTTCTAAATATAATTGAAGTTTTCTTTCTCGCACATCTTCCTTAATTATAAGCCATAATTTCTTTTTAATTTCAAAAAGTGTTAGCAACTAACAATAGAAAGTTTTTCACTAGTTAAACAGTAATTAGCCTAATCGACAGGCGTGCCGAGCGTAGTAAACGATTCCATTAATTAACGTTTTAACTTTTACAGGCTTTTCGTTGGAACTATATTATATTATATAAAACCTTTTTTTAATAAATTATCAATAAAAAAAGTCTTTCTCGATCATTTATAAAACAAAAAACAAAATAGTATAACAAAAAATCAGACTGCCCTGACTAACTCTGCTACCCTATTTAAACGATACTTCTAGTACTTAACTAACAAAATGTGTGCTGCACACATAAACGTAAGCGTGGCAACTATGGCAAACATCTAATATGTCCTAATAACATAACCAGGAGGTTGATGGATGCAGATGGATTAGGACCGTGCTCTGAGACATATCTTGGAGGAGGCTTATTTTCAGCAGTGGGCTTGTGAAAGGCTGTTGTAATGATGATGATATTTTATTCATTTTTATTAAGAAATTAAATAATGATGATACTTTCATTAAAACACTGTGATTATTAATTAATTATGAGGGTCATTTTCTGTTTACGCTTCTTTATACTAGCTGGCTAATCCAATTTAGGTGTGAACTAACAACTACGTTTTACATTACAGTTAAAATGTGTTTTAGATGACCGCAAAATACGTCCCAACCCTCAATCACTGTTAATGGGTTCTGGAAACAATCATATGCAACACAATTTCATTGATTATATACAGATTGGTTGTTGCTAGGGGCCAATTTTATCGCCGCAAAATAAGAAAAGTTTAGTGTTACGTTGTGTGGTAGAATTCTTTTTTTTTTAAATAAATGAATTTCGTAACGAAAATTTATCTGCAGTTGAATAATGTAACCTACATAGCACATAGAAAAAGTAATCTAATGTGGCCAGTCGTATTGCTCGGATAAATGAAAACCGACTTGGAAGAAAAGTTCTCGACCGGCAGCCTCTTACTGATGAATCCGTTTGATTATAGAGCGACCCTTTAGAAGATGGAGTGAAGACGGGTGATAGCCCAAGCAGCATGCAAGCTCGTATAAGAGCTGTATTGAAGTTCGTTTTTATACCAGAAGCTGTATTTTATGGCTGTATAAAAGTTGTATAACCGCTTATACAGTTCTTATAAGTAAAAAATTGGCACAACTATGCAGCTTTATGCGTTAGTAGTACTGTACAGTAGATGTACAAGCATAAAAGAGACTATAGCTGCTAAGCTGCTGTAGCTGCTATAGCTGCTGTAATATAGCTGTTATTTGTTGTGCAAAGAAATTATTGCACTACAGATATTGTCTTATAAGTAACTTATAAAGACAAACGTTCTCAATTGGTGTTTTAATGAGATTAAAAATGAATATAAAACAAAACGAACGTTTATTGAACGATGGCGACATTTAATGTACCTATGTAAATATACTTAACATATTAATATTATATTCGAATTCGAGTTGAGTTTGACGATAATAATTAGTGAATTGAACGTGCTAAAGTAGATTTACGGTAAACTTGTATATGTTTTCTAACGAAAAATTACCGCACCAGCAAAATAACAAAATAATATATGGACAAAATACTAAATACGGTATGTTACGGCCTACAGCTGCCCCTGCAAAGGTCGTCTTGGCTGGGTCCCATAGCAGCTTCTTTGACGGGCAGACGCAGGTCGGGCCCAATGGCCATATGGAAGAATTCCTATAATACTAAGCTAGGGAAGAAAGCTAGGGAAATATAGTACGTACCAGTTTCCGACTCTTAGATCGCCCCAAGGCTCGGTCAGGCCGTAAGTGGGTGTGAGGTGCATAGCAAGTAGTATTTAGTGATGTGTAAATGTCTGAGACCTGGACCAGCTTAGTCAACCAGCAGCGGCCGAGTTCCAGGCTGCCCCACAATGCTGCATCGCTCCAGCAGGCTCCACCGCTGGACCATTTCTTTCTTCATTGTCACTATTTTAGTCTATTAACTTCATTGTACATTTAACTAACTTCAACTCGCCTAATTCCACATTCATCGTAGAATCGAACACGTGATACCCGACACAGTAAGGACAGTAGTTCAAAATTCGACATTAACGTTCCCGGATTCACTTATCACAAAATTATTAATAGAAAACTAACGGGATCTCTTAATGAGTCAAACGGTTCAGCGTTAAACACAACTAAGTTCCTTCATTCGACACCAAAACACCACGTCGCGAAAAGAATTCAAAATCCGCCTCGTTGACACGTAAACTAACAAAC